TATGCAGAAATCATTGTTTGGTGATTGCCTGACTAAAGACTTCTCAAAATAAATTCCCTTGAAACATCATTGCTTTTCAAATCTAGTCTATGCAAATAAAATAAAACATTAATATATTAACCTTCAACACATAAGGGCCTTTTCCGTTGCTCCATTCATCGGAGTTATCAAGAAATTAGAATTTGCAACCGTGGCGTTGGCTTGTTTCATGCAACCGATTTCCGAAAATACCATCTATCAGTACCAGTCGACAGTTCGTGTTTCTTTACAAATAACTAGTCAGATTTCAATAAGAAATATACAGAACAGTATATTTATAAATTCGATTCCTACAGAGTTCAGTAGGTTATTCTAACTTCACTGGCAATTTAGTGTCTCTAGTTTGCATATTATCGGAAAAGTCACAGTTGGCGCGAGAAAAGAGCGTACCGTAGTTTCTTCCGGTTCTGTGACGTTGTTTGCGTTCGGCGAGCGGTTTGATCGACGAATAACACCTTTCTGATCAACAATCTTAAACTTTACTTTAACCTTTTCTTGTTTACATCGATTTACATTGATCAACAATAAAAAAGGGATCCCAAATTGGAATCAAAGGGATCATAAAGGATCATAAAGGGTCATAAAAGATCATAAAGGGTTCGACCATTTGCCCGCCAACCTCCCTTGTCTCCGCTCTCGACCATGTGCTCCTATCCCATAATTTCACTCCACAGGTAACCCATTAACACGGTTCTGTCCATACCCTAGTGGTGTTGGAATTTTATGTATTATCCTTGGCAAGAAAAAGAGTCGAGATATACATTATTATGCCATTTTAACATGAAAAGCCCTTTGTGAGCAATTTTAAAAGTGGTTCTCTCAATAGATTATGGTGAAGCCGGYTACAGGCACCTGTGCGAGCTACTATGCCATACTGCTCCGTTTTGATATAATTCATTAAATAATTTTGTTTCCTGTGAATAGTTCCTGCACTAGATTTCTCTTTACATGAAAGAAGCCAGCTTGTTGCAAGACAAATTCCTGTTTTCTTTCTTTCTCCTTCRTTAAAGAACAGTGGTCGGTGCAYGCACTATGGTCCCATAACACGATCTGCACGCTGGAATGCTGTSTCGGTATMAGTTTCTGACAGTCACTCGCAAACAATTGCCTATCGATCTGTTAAATATTAAAGACCAATTTATCAAAGCGCTACTGACTAGTAGTTCTTGGAAGAAATAGCCAAAGGTGGATCCCTGGCCTTATACTGTTCTCTATATTTCTTATTGAAATCTGACTAGTTACTAATAGATGGTATTTTCGGAAATCGGTTGCATAAAACAAGCCAACGCCACGGTTGCAAATTCTAATTTCTTGATAACTCCGATGAATGGAGCAACGGAAAAGACCTTTTCGTGTTGAGGGTTAGTATATTAATGTTTTCTTTTATTTGTATAGACTAGATTTGAAAAACAATGATGTTTCAAGGGAATTTATTTCGAGAAGTCTTTAGTCAGGCAATCACCAAACAATGATTTCTGCATAGTTAATGAGTCAAAATAAAAGCTCTCGCAAAAAGCGCACAATTATTTCCCCAAAATAAAAAATACATTTTTCAAAAGAGCAGTTTCCCAATAGTTGTTGACTGTAATCTCATAAGATTTGGAAAGATGGCACATAGGGAAACTCGCAGTTTTCGAGATGCATTGACAAGTATTGTAACTCAGTGCCCTTTGCTTTTTATTGTGTAAATAATTCTGAGTTGTTCGATTTTTATGAAACTACTCTTAATTTAGCAAATAAGAGTTGTACTTTTGGTAGAAAGTATTAGAAGGCTATTTGGATCAATAGTTTTGATACACGGACCAAGCGAAAGTAAGCAATTTTCAGCCATCTTTTGGCAGCGAAAATCGTCCCTGGAGCTCAAACCGATTTTTCCCTTTTTCTCGAAAACTAAAGAGTATTTTTCAAAACTAACCACACAGCGTTTCGTACTTCATCATACACTACTAAAATCCAAAAGTAGAGCGAATTCGAAAATTTGAGCCTTTCCACATATTTCTGATTTTGTTTGATTTTTACAGACAGTCGCTCTTAACTTGGGGTCATAACAACCAAGAGACATTGGTTATAAAATCCAAACATATTATTTAATAAAACCATAATAATATTAGTTAATATAAATGATTAACTTTGGGTTATGACTACCAAATGGCATTGGTTATTATACCAAAATGGTGGCATCCTAGATTGATTTTACTTGGCCTGTGCAAAGTTGTATAATTAGTGACTAACAATCGAAGTAAAGCAAAAGAAAACAATTTGTATCTACTACTGTGTATTACGTTGACACTCCAAAATCGCTCAGTGACAGATAAAGCCAAAATTTTGATCCAAAACTTCATAATCATTAAGGTGGCTCGACTGGGTTTTGTTAGTGGCGTACCTTCGAAGTTTGAAGGGAAAATGCGTCGCTGCCAATAAGTTAAGTTCAAATAAATCATTATGAAATGTCTAGAGATAGATTCAAGTTTTATACGATATACAATTTATCGCGATCGGAGTTACCATAGCGATACAGTGACGTCATGTCATTTTTTTTTATACATTCCGTTTTTGGCGAAATCAGACGTTTGTTTGAAAACTGGTTTAAGAGCTCTTAAAGTTCATATGTTTGTCTTCAAGTTAACGAAGTTATGGAAGCGTTTTGAAATAATTGCCACCGCAACTTTTGGGCAACAAAAATATTAAACAAATAAAAAAACAATCCAAAGCAATTAGTTCATGTGACCGAAACCTCTTCTTACTGGACTTGGGAAAAGCTTTTTTTGGGGTCATAGTGTTGTGTTAATATTCCACTAGTCCTTCTGAGAAACGGAAAGAAATCGCTTTATTCGATTTCGAGAAATATGATTTCAAGCCTAGTTAGTAAAGTTGTGCCTTTTGATATCCTGTCAAAGATTTCACTTCTCTTTACTAAAAACGGTCAAACTCAATAATCCGATGATGAATTTTTTTTTAACTTCCAAGTCAGTTACTTTAGATAGCGCATTTACATACCCTAAAGTTTCAAGTTCATTGAAATAATTTAAAACCGTCAAATAATATTCTCAATTCCATAAACATTTGTATCCCAATGCTAAATGTGCGACCGCTTTCTTCACTCGCAGTTTGTTTATATCGTTACGCCTTTCTATTGTCCAGAATATTTCCAAAGTCGTGCATTCCAATACCTCACGCTTTGCATTCAATGCTTGATTGCTTTCCGAAACCCTTCCGACTATGATAACTTTTGTAGTAGCAATTTCAATGAGCTAGCAAATAACAAAGGACTTAGAAAAACGCTTGGCACACAACTATAGTACTCTAAAGACTAAAAAAATACTRTACTAAATAAAGTCCTTTGTTATTTGCTACTTATACAAATTTTCATAGTCGGAAGGGTTTCGGAAAGCAATCAGGCATTGAATGTACACAGAGCCTGCGTTTCTTCTGGCCTGCGGCGAAGAACAAGGGCTCTGGCATATTCCATATTTTGGCGCATGCGCAATTCTCGGAAAGTTAGATATAACCGGTCAAAGTAATCAAAGTCAAAATAATCAAAGTAAAAATTAAATCAAAGTAAAAATCAAAAATCGGGGGAAAAAGTATTTTGAATTTTTGGCAAGTCTTTGAACGCTTGCGCTGTTATACCGGAAGTCCAAGAAAGCCTGGTATCAAAATATGGATTATGCCAGAGCCCTTGTTCTTCACCGCAGGCCAGAAGAAACGCAGGCTCTGGGTACGAGATTGAACCTGCCCTAGAGAAAAATTCCATTTCAGCTATCTGTTTCCTTGAGACCCAAGTTTTATGCAAACGCATTTCATTTTTGAGCTGTCTCGATCCGAGTACGCGAGATAAGTGCTTATATGAGAAAAAAATGTCTCGTCTATTATCGCAACAGCCTACCAAAGGATACGAGTTGTCTCCCTCCCTCTCCCTCTTGAAACACCCTGTTTTAGTGTCCGACTTTAGTGTAATATTGCTTTTCATGTGATTAACTTGTGTTCTGCTGTTTTTTCACTACTGTTATGTCCGGTCAAGTTTTTAATTCAGTCTTCTCTACATTTTTTAGGCAGTGCGCATTAATCCGCGTAGATGCCCCCATAAAGGAATCTGAGGAATGCACATCAAATAGTTTTATTGGTCGGGATGAGAATTAATACTAATAAATACAAGTAAAATGAAAAGGAATTCGATTTTTTTTACCAAGAATACTTCACTTCCTGTTGATATCCTCTTTTTACTTTACAAATGTACTTGTTAATTTTCGTTAACTTTGCATTGTTATTAAGGTGGCTCGACCCCCTCACGCTTGACCGCTACCTTCCACTTTTGGAACGCTAGTGCATAAACACGTCTTTTATCCTATTGCAAATCTTTTTTGCACATAAGTCACATAAAGATTGAATTAAT